GCCAATCTTCGGCGATCGTGGTGCATTCTTGGGGCATATCTTTTCCATATTGGCGCATTTCACCCAATGTTGGGGCTCTCTTGAGGCTTCTCGTAGAGGTATGTTGGAAGTGATTGGGGCCGTGGGGTCTAGATCAGGGCTATGTTGAAGGCTTTGCTGCTGTTATGTCACTTGTTTTGCGGCCATGCTTTTTCTCTGCTGTTTGACTTCGGCACGTGGTCTTTTTCGTAGCGCCGGTAAAACACTGTAAAAACAAAGAAAAATGAGGTCCGACAAGTGTAAGAAAAGTGGTTTTGATAGTTTTCTTTGTCGTTTTTGCTGCTTTGTCTTATGAAAGCTTGCTCCAGTGTGTGGTCAACTTCGGGGCACGTTTGTGCCAATCTTCGGCGATCTTGGTGCATTCTTGGGACATATCCTTTTCCGTATTTTTCCGTATTGGAGCACTCCACCCAATGTTGGGGCTCTCTTGCGGCTTCTCGTGGAGGTATGTTGGAAGTGATTGGGGCCGTGGGGTCTAGATCAGGGCTATGTTGAAGGCTTTGCTGCTGTTATGTTACTTGTTCTGCGGCCATGTTGGTCCACTTGGCTGCTTTTTCTCTGCGGTTTGACTTGGGCAGGTGGTCTTTTGCGTAGTGTGAGTAAAGCACTATAAACAATTATGTACCATGAAAAATGAGGTCCGACAAGTGTAAGAAAGTTGGTTTTGACAGTTTTTTTTTGTTTTTGTTGCTTATGCAAGCTTGCTCCTGTGGGTGGTCAAATTTGGGGCACGTTTGTGCCAGTCTTCGGCGATCTTGGTGCATTCTTGGGACATATCCTTTTCCATATTGGCGCATTTCACCCAATATTGGGGCGCCCTCTCGTGCATGTATGTTGGAAGTGATTGGGGGCAGTGGGGTCTAGATCAGGGCTATGTTGAAGGCTTTGCTGCTGTTATGTCACTTGTTTTGCGGCCTTGTTGGTCCACTTAGCTGCTTTTTCTCTCCTGTTGGACTTCGGCGCGTGGTCTTTTTCGTAGCGCGCGTAAAACACTTTAAAAACAATGAAAAAATTGAGGTCCGACAAGTATAAGAAAAGTGCTCTTGATAGTTTTCTTTGTCGTTTTTGCTGCTTTGTCTTATGAAAGCTTGCTCTTCGGCGATCTTTGTGCATTCTTGGGACATATCCTTTTCCATATTGGATCACTCCAAAGAATGTTGGGGCTCTCTTGAGGCTTCCCGTGGAGGTATGTTGGAAGTGATTGGGGCCGTGGGGTCTAGATCAGGGCTATGTTGAAGGCTTTGCTGCTGTTTTGGTCCACTTGTCTGCAGTTTGACTTGGGCGGGTGGTTTTTTGCGTAGTCCGTGTGAAACACAAAAAAATGAAAAATGCGGTCCGACAAGTGTAAGAAAGGTGGTTTTGAGAGTTTTTTGGTCGTTTTTGTTGCTTACGAAAGCTTGCTCCAATGGGCGGTCAGAATTGGGGCATGTTTGTGCCAATCTTCGGGGATCTTGGTGCATTCTTGGGACATATCCTTTTCCATATTGGAGCACTCCACCCAATGCTGGGGCTCTCTTGAGGCTTCTCGTGGAGGTATGTTGGAAGTGATTGGGGCTGTGGGGTCTAGATCAGGGCTATGTTGAAGGCTTTGCTGCTGTTCTGTTACTTGTTTTGCAGCCATGTTGGTCCGCTTGGCTGCTTTATCTCTGCCGTTTGACTTGGGCAGGTGGTCTTTTGCATAGTGTGTGTAAAGCACTATATATAAAATTATAGACCATGAAAAATGAGGTCCGGCAAGTGTAAGAAAGGTGGTTTTGACAATTTTTGGTCGTTATTGTTGCTTATGCAAGCTTGCTCCACTGGGTGGTCAAATTTTAGGCATGTTTGCGCCAATCTTCGGCGATCTTGGTGCATTCTTAGGGCATATCCTTCTCTATGTTCGCCCAAGGTTGAGGCTTGGAAGTGATTGGGGCTGTGGGATCTATGTTGAAGGCTTTGCTGCTGTTATTTTACTTTTTTGCGGCGATGTTCGTCCACTTGGCTGCTTTTTCTCTGCCGTTTGACTTGGGCAGGTAGTCTTTTTGCGTCATGTGTGTATAACATCGTAAAAACCGGACAGACTTAGGTCCGACAAGTGTATGGTTTCTCTGCCGTTCGACTTGGGCAGGTGGTCTTCTGCGTAGTGTGCGTAAAGCACCGTAAAAACCGTGAACAAATTAGGTCCGACTACCCTGCAGCAATAAAATGTTGCTGCTCCGCTTTCCGTGTTTTTCCAACCTGGTTTGCAGCTAGAATGTCGGAAGGACTTCAGGTTGTTTGCTGAAACATGTGCGTGTTTGTGCCGGCACCTCACACGTTTGAGCTACCAGTTGTGCAACAGGTTCCATGGAGAAGCGCAGCCGCAAATGACAACGGCGCTTGATGAAAAAAGGATGCAGTGCAGCTGTCTGAAATGCCACGGTGGAATCACTCCCATCCTGCCAGGTGGGGGCCTTTAGATTTTAGCAGGGGTGCTACTCCTTCCTTCCTTCCTTCCTTCCTTCGTTCCTTCCTTCCTTCCTTCCTTCCTTCCTTCCTTCCTTCCTTCCTTC